GCCACATGCGACCTCAGGCTACTGCGTGAAGATGTCTGCATGGAAGCACCTGCCACAGAGGTCAAGATGAAGAGTGAGCCCAACTACAGAGTAAGCTGACAGGGCGACGCAAATGGACACGGCCACAGGTCTCTGCTGGCAGGCAGGCTTCAGTGTGCCCTCCCACTCAGCACAGGAACAAGCTTCTTGACCTCCACCACCGACCTCCACCCGACCACAAACCACATCTACTGCTTCTGTTAACAGAGATCCGCGCGCTACTGAGGACAGTGCGTCCCAGGGCAGGTAAGCACCACTGAGCTCCAGGTGCCAACAGGACCACACATTCAGAGGCCATTACGCCACCCAGTCACAGAAGGAGCAAAGAGCCCGAGGGAGACGGTGGTTCTCAGGCTCTGCAAACGCCTGGTGCACACCAAGGAGCCTCCACACAAGAGCCACTGTGGGCTCAGAGCGAGCGCAAGCACAGGCGTCCGAGACCAGAACTACGGAGGCCGACACGAGAGCCCAGGGTCTTCACAGTCCCTCCCACACCTGGTCATCTGACACGACTGCTCCACATGTGCAGTTCACAGATGTAGAGAGCAGCTGTTGATCGACGCTGCAATCGGGCTTCCACGGAACTCCTCCTCCTCCACTGAAACACAAAGCCCAGCAGCCTCCCCGGCCTCGCCTTCACCCCGGGGTGTCCCGTTTACACACTGACCATGAGCACAGAGGCCACTGCTCACAGCTAAGATCCCAGTTCCAGTTTCTACGGCAGGAACCAGCAAACTACAGGACACAGGCAACATCTGCCCATCTATTTTCACAAATAAAGTTTTACTGGAAAGCAGCCATGGTCATTTATTCATGTGGTGTCTACAGCTCTTTGGGGATATACTGGCAGAGTGGTGACCATGGGGCCTGCAAAGGCCCATCTACTTGTTATCTGAGAGTGAAGAAGCCCTCGTGGGAGGCACTGAAAAGCCCAGCTGCCACTGGAGAGGCTGGTGGTTCGAACCCACTCAATGGAGCCAGGCCCAGTGACCTGTCCCTCAAGGTCACAGTCACAGAAACCCCAAATGGGAGCTCTGCTCTGTCACACAGGTCACTGTGAGTCGAGGTCGACTTGCATACGAACATCACCATTCTAGGCTACTCTGATTTTTCCTACTTCACATTTCTGAATCTGAGTTTTAAAGCGGAAAATGTAGGTTTCATCAAAGAGCACATCAGTGCAGTGGAACACCATGCACCTATGACAAAGGAGGCTCTGCAGGTTTCTAGGGCATCAGGTGGCTTGGTAGTCAGAAGCTGAGCTGCCAACCCAAAGGCACATGGTTCAAACCCACCAGCTGCTCTGCAGGGGAAAGATGGGCAGCTTCCGATCTCCTTCTGTGAGATCACAGCCTCTGAAAGGCTGCGGGAAGATCAGCTGAACTGGTTCTGCCGTGACAGGACACAACAGCAACTGGGGTCTAGGAAAATGTGCTACAACACCAAGATTTACACATATCAAATGGCAAATTTCAGATAATTCCACCAAAACAAAACTCACTTGCACAGAAAACAAGACTGAAAGGCAACACGCCAGAGCGATCACCAGCTGTCCTCTCACGGTTAAGAGCCTGCATGATTTTCTACTGAAAACAACTCAATTTTCTGAAATGAAAAAGTACAACTTTAACCCTAAGGAATCAAGGTGAGATTACTGGAAAAATGTCTTGGTCTCTCCAGTGTAAAAATCTGGTGGTCTTACCTTGTTGGCCTGATGAAGCCGGTGATTATTCTCCCAACGAGAGTGTTTTCTGACCCAGCCTCAGTGACACTCACAGACTGAGTGGCCGGCCTGCACGAAACCACACCACGCCCTGAGGGACATGTTCCAGAAAGCTCCACACCCCCACTCCAGCTGGGGAGGCCAAGTCGGCCAGGCAACTGAAGAGCCGCAGGCAGACTGCAGGGCCGAGGTATTGATTTCAGAGTCCATCTATGCTAACTGCATTAGTTTGATTTGTTTTTCGCTGTTCTTCCTACTAAATGCTTAATTTTTAAAAATTTCATTATAGTCTCACTCCAAATAGGATTTCAGGCGCTCCCAGGGTGAGTCACATTACACACGGGAGGTAGGGCTGGTGTAGAATGGGGAGGGAGGGCTGGCTTAGGGATGCTGCTGTTGTAGGAGGACAAGACAGCTCTCTGAATCTTTAAGGAAAGACAGAGCGCTGGTGGACAGATGGACAGAGAAAGGCTCCCGGCATGCAGCAGACTCAGTCTTTGTTGCAGAGACATGTTCACTCACCTCCCAAGCATAGCCCCTTCCTTGCCTAAACATGTACACAAACAGCCTGTGAGTGCTGCACCTGGAGAGAGGAGGGCAGCGCTGTCCCTGTGTCCATTCAAGAGTCACTGTGCTTGGAGAGGCCGGGGAGCAGCCAGGAGGAGAAGGAATACAGTCTCAGTGCCTCGTGGCCACTGGATGACTGAGACAGTGCACTGTGGTCTCTGTGACAGCAGCACCGGGTGACTGAGACGGTGCACTGTAGTGTCTGTGACAGCAGCACTGGGTGACTGAGAC